TTAAGTACTGAAGCTGAATCGTCTTTAAAAGAGTAAAAAAACCATTTTTATTACATTACTTTTCCCAAAATTATGTAGCCATTGTGAAGGATTTTGGAGGTTATTTTTCTTCCCTTCTTGTCCATGCTTACATTTGTGTGTGAAGTCCCTTTGCTCTGTAACTGACGGTTTGGAATTTTTTAGTTTGTCCTTTCTATAGATTTAAATAAAGCTTTCCCATTTGATGACAGAGTTTTGACTAACAGATAACTGGCTGAAAAGAGGTTAAGAAAAGTTTTTGCTTTAGGTTAATGTCTTGTTACACCTAGTCCTGTGAAAGGGTAGTACTGCACTTTCTTGACTTGCATAAGGCTGCTGTGGTTGGAAAGGAAGGAGAGAGGAAATGAACTGCAGCCTGCAATAAGAAAAGGGCTTATTAAGCATCTGGGAGCTCTGCAGACTACTGGAAAGAACTAAAAGTACCTCTAAGCCAGGTTAGAGGTATATATCTTGTGACATTTGTACTATGTAATTACCCGGTTTAAATCCAAGTAAGTTTTAAAATCTGTTATTTGAGACTTGCCCATTGTTTTAAAATGTCCTTAACCTATTTAAAGATTTATTTTTGTTTGTTTTTCTAAAGGAAGGTAAGAGAAGTGGGAAGCTTGTTTTGGCTCAGTTGGTGTTGTGGCATTGGTTTCATGGACATCCAAGCTGACATAGTTGGTTCTGCACGAATGGAGTTGTTGCTCCCCTTACTTTGTGGCGACTTCGATAGTCTGCCATGGTCTGGATCAACCCACTAATGCAGTAGAAAGCTACCTACTTTTTAGGTTAAGTTTTTACTTAGTGGATGAATCAGCTGATTTGGCCTTGGAGCTGTGCTTTCCAAGGTCTGGAGCACTTTCAGGGGAGGAAACTGAACTTAAGAGGATTGGTGAGAGCAAGATATCAAAGGGGAGGTAGGTCCTCATCTGTGTGGGTGGTGAGCTGATTGATCACAGTGTTGTGTGAAGCAACCATAAGAAAAATAGTTCTTTGAGATGGCTGAATTAATCCAGTGTTTATCTGCTGCCAAAGTGAGTAGACCTTGTTACCACTTCTTGTCTCATCTATGAACTCTGTTGCTTAACTGTCAGCATCATTGTTTATGTGATCCTTCAGAGAGCCAGCTCAGCTCATATTGATGATTTGAAAAACAAGATCAAACAAATAGTAGAAATGGTCAGATCAGTGCAAGAGCCCTACTCATCAGAGACAGCAGGCAGATTAACAGAAGAGATTTGTCTTCAGGATTCAGTTTTGAAATCCAGGTTGGGAGGACCACAGTTCTTTTCCTCTGTCACCTTTCTTGGGGTGCTCAGGTGAGCAAGTAAGAAAAATGTCTTAGCCCCTTTATCCCCCTTTTTAGTTTTGAGCCAGTCAGCTTTTCAAGACAAACAGTGGAAGGAACACTACGAGTTTTGTCTAGTGGTCAGAAAAGCCTGGATATTTTCTGCATGTTAGGTAGCGCACCCCTGGCTTCATAGCCGGTAACTGAAGTTTCCTTGCCCTATTCACAGGGCATAGGAGCTGGAAGGCAGAAGGAAGCAAGTCAGCTCTCTTAGACAAAGCAAAGCCTGGCTCAGCTGTTATCATCACCTGTGCTGTGGTTCCAGAGCTGCTTATTTTTTTAATTACCTTGAGTTCAGCCTGCTACTCAAAAGAACAACCCTTAACTTTGTTATATATTTTATAGCCCTAGTGTCATGCACATACTAGTGTTTGGGTGACTATAGTCCTGTGCTGGATCCATTTCTTGGTGTAGCTCATTTCATAACCTACGAGTGAGAAGGGAGAGAGGGCAGCTTTACCACTGAGCTACCCTGGCTTGCTAAGCCCTGAAATGAACACAAGTGTTGATATAAGGGAGGGAGGTGTTGAAGCTGGGCCAAAGTGGACAGTAGCAAAGCTCTGGCAATGCCTTGCCTAGAAATTGACTGCAGAGTGGCACTCAGATAAAGGGGGAGCTTTTAAGGGAGGCAGAGGAATTTGGAGAACAGACTCAGTCTGCTGGTTTGGAATTCAGAGCTGGTGGGTAAAATTACTGTAGCACAAGTTCCGCTTCCCATCACTGAGTACTAGGAAGCGAAGGGATCCTAAAACAGGCACTTGGAAAGAAGTAAGCTGCTTCCCCTCTGAGTACATAATCCATTGTTTTCATTTGTTCCTAGGCAAGAGCTTTTGTTTACTGTGGTTGTTGAAGTGTATCCATGCTCTCTTGCTCTAAAATATTAGATTTTTTTTTTTTCCTCTGGGGGTGGTTTATCTGAAGCTATATTAAAATAATTGTGGCAGTAAAATGGAGAATGACCTGATAAATAACCGCATCTATCCCTTTTGTGTTCTACAATTGACTATCATAAGACATGCTCACCTACTTTTTTCACAGAGTGTCTGCCTCATTTCATGTTGTAATATTTACAGTGCTAAGTGAGTGAGGTACCTGGTAAGTAGTCACTCTGCTTTTAGACTTAACCTGTGTAGTTACTTTAAGCCACCTGTGTGCCATGGAATCAGCTGCCATGCAACTGTTAGTTGATCTTTGCAGCATCTGTTTATGTCATGAGGTGGTAAACTACTCAGGAGTTCATATACAGCTCCTGTTCCTGGTACATATTCCTGTGATAGTGCAGTCTGCTCAGGGTCTGGAAGCATATGAGCTAGGAGCTATTCTCATAAGAACTTTTGGGATACAAACTTGCAATATCTTAAAACTATAAAATTAAAATAAAATGTAACTATTAAATATAAACAACAAAGTATTTATAACCTAAACTTAACAGGCACAACAGCCTTGTTTGCAACTTTTTGAACCTCTGTTTCAGTCAGCAGCAGTACAAAACTTAGGAACTTTCAGATGACTTTTTGCTGAAGGTTCTGAAGTAGCAGGAATGGCATTAAACAGAAACTAGTTGTTTCTTTTGTTTCTATGTATGAAGCCATCAGTCTGCAGTCTGCTCCTGAAAGGCCTGCTATGGAGGTGTAACTAGAGGTGCAGTCACGCCGTGCCAGTCTGAGACAGGGCTTGCACCATAGAGGCTGTGCTTGTCTGTCATCTTCCCTCTGCTGACGAGGGTGTTTGTATGTTCGTTCCAACCAAGTTGGTCAGCAGCCTTATAAGAGGAAGAAATATCAGATTGCCACTTGAGAACTAGTGCTGGAACACCTAGTCAAGTGTCTCTTTGTTGATTAGCATATGAAATATTGTTCCAACATTTGTAAGATTTATGCAGGAATATTGGATTGGTTTGAGGTTCTGGTTTATCCAGTGATACTGAAATCATTTGGTAAGGTTAATGGCAAAAGCTGTTTCTGGTGTGACTTACAGGTTGTTTTTTATAAGTGACGTGGTGATTATGTTCTGTGATAGGGTATTTGTATTTCAGTGGTGTGATATAAAAGTTACCTGTATATATAAACAGTGTGCTGTGAGTAGAATTATTACTATTTTAAGATTCTTTAGAGTTTTGTGTTCTCTGTCCCTACAGCTCCAGTACTCTCTGCCTGTTCTTCTCCCTATTTCTTGCTTTCCTCCATTCCTTCTCCACTTCTCTTGTGTTTATTAATATTTTTTGAACAAAATCTGTACCTGCTTCCAAGCTGCTTGTATTCTGACAGCTTGCCATCATAAGCCAAATAGCTACAGAAAAGAGATCTAGTGAGGCAGATGCAAATTTTGCCTTCGACTACAGTTCCATGCAACTCTAAGTTATTGATCTGCTGGCTGCTGCATTTCTTTTCCCTCATTTGAATGAACTCTCATGATTGTCAGACCCTGCATTAAGCTATTTCTGTTTGCTTTGTCACTCTTCTTGTCAGATTAGTGTGCTAACCCAGTGGACAATTGAAATTGCTTCAGAACTCATCTAAGCCATATGGAAAAATGGGCATGAGCATACTGTAGGGAAGAGAGTAGAGAGAGCAGCACCAATAACTGGCCTAGGTTGTTGGAACTGCTGCATTGTTTGGGATATTAATCTGAGTGTCATCAATTGGTCACAACTCAGTTCTTGACGAAACTAAATGCAGGTCTCATTTCTGTTAGATTTGATGAAACTGGCCACTGATCTAAGCTTTTTAAGTCTAAAATGACAGGTAGGTGGTGATTGTTTATGTAGGCTTTGTTTCCTCTATAAACCATATTAAAAAACTTTGCTGAGTTTAGTATAAGTCACTCTATGCAAACCTCTAGTATGCCTATCTTGTGTCTGCAGTGTGGTTCTTTTCCATATCCCTTTGTTTGCTATCTTTTATTACCAGATATGTCTCTTCTGATGAGCTGTTGCTGACCTCTAGTATGTGGCTAAAATAGCCTTATCTTGCTGGACAGATAAAGCAAAGTACAGCAGGAACTTGGATGCTACAGTATTGTCTGTTGTGTGATAATGGTTCAGAGTTTAAATACCTGTAAACCAAATATATTACTGTCATGTTTTAAAAGGCTGAAAATACGAAGTTTGACTGAACAGAACTGGAAGAGTAACTCCTCCAAGTAAAAGAACAAGGAAAAATTAACCATAAAAAGTATTAAGTTTTCAAACCTAAGTAGTTTGAGTACTACTCTCGACTGCGTTAACTTCTAGTTTTCTGTGCTTTCACATAGAGAAGAAATTGCCCATTTGCTGACCAATGTCCATGTATTGTGAAATAGTTACACTGATTTCTGACTCAGGTTGGAGGTTGTGTTGTCTGTCTGACTGTACTCTGAACCCAGTTGTTGCTAGTTCTTAGACTGCTTTTTGGCCTATTGGGAACCAGTGGGCAGTAACATATAGTGGTTTTAGCAGCCACAGATGTACTGCTGTTACTCAGGTGATAAATTAGGAGATGGATGAGGGTGTGAGTAGGTGATATCTAATCTCTCAAGTTCTAGTAATGAATTCTAAGCAATATATACCGTTTGCTTAAATTAATTTTTATTGATTCTTTACAGATTTTTTTAAAATTTGCTTAATGCTTCTTTTTTTTCTTTCTTTTAGGTGTTGGGAAATCATGTTTATTGTTACAGTTTACAGACAAGCGGTTTCAACCAGTCCATGATCTCACTATTGGTAGGTCTCTTTTGTGCTGTACAATGCCAGTAGTTAGGTGGTGAATTTGTCATGCTGTGGTAATGCAGGATTTCTGCTGTGTTAAGGTAGCAGTCAATCTCTAGGTGATCAATATTTGTGGGGGGGGCTTTTTGTTCTTATTGGGAAGGTACAGTCTGAAACAATTAAAATAATTCATAACTCCAGTATCTCAACTGTCTCTTCAGAGAAGCTGAAAGCTGGGCACAAAAGAATTGACTAAGCTTGAAATGCATTGACAGTGATGCAAGTGGCATTCTTTTTCACACTAGGGAACATAATATTAGCCTAGCCACAAAACCCGGAAGACAAGTTACAGATAAACTAAAGCAAAGTTAACCTTAAAGATGAATAAAAAAAATTTACTATTTGGGAAGACTAACTTTTGGATACAAAAGGATTGAAGCGTAAATGTATTCACTCTTTGGAAGGGACAAGGGTTTTCCTTCCCAACTCCTCAGTTGGATGTGGACCATTTGTATTAGGTATGATTTGATACTAAGGGAAATGAATGCATGTTGACAGAACGCATTGCCTCTGATCTAACTACAGTAAATTATACAAAGTTTTGTTTATCTTTCCACGCAAAATATGAGGAATAGTGGGGGAATAAATTCTTCTGTGAGCAAGTTTGGTCTGCAGATCAGTTTTGCTGTTAAGCATAACAGATGCTAGTCTCCAATAAGGTTGCAGAACCTTTGAACTTTTGATGTTATTTCAAGGAACCTATTGGCTCTAATCATGAGCACAAAATGTATTCCTAGTCTCTATTTTTAGTTTGTGCCCTGCAATAGGTAGGCATCCTGACTTTGGGAGTACTGAAATAGATGCTTGAAATGTAAACAGATATTCATGTAATAGAATGTATCAGGTGGTTTGATTATGGCTTCCCTTTCTCTTGACAGTCCTCCCACACCTTGTGTGTGGCTGTCTCATACAGTTCAAATTTTTGGGCTAACATCAGTTTTCAGATATTTGAGGTCTTGGCAGCAGATAGTCTGGCTGAGTAAAGAGCCTGAGTTCTTTAGGGAGGCATGAGTTATCTTCTTCTCTTTAGGCCTGCCAAATATATGACACCTTTTATATCACTTGTGCCTTTGGCAGTCCTGTCACCTCAGCAGACTGATAGGCTGTGAGAAACATCTTCACCTCAGCAGTGTGGTTGTAGTGCCAGTTCTTTGCCTGGTGTACAGCTCACTGAAATCTGGGAACAGAACAGAAATTGAAGCTAGTGAGATGAGGAGGTGAACCTAGACAGCAACATAATGAGGGATGTAGTAGTGGAGCATAGGGAGCTGCTTGAAAAAGGGATGAGGAGGCTGGGAACGGCCTCCTTAACTGCTAGGGCATGTGTGTGTGTTTTGGCCAGGTTCTCCCAATTACCTGAACAGATTTAGAAAGACAGATAAATAAAGAACATGGGGTTTAAGTCATATGAAGGCCCCTGTGGGACAAGATGGGGTGAGTTGATGTTAACTAATAAATGCCCAACTGATTATATTAAAAGTCCTGAAAACCTGTAGATTGAATAAAAAGCCTTGTGTTACATAGCCTAACTTTTTCAGTATAATACAGTGATTTTAACCCGTGAGACTGCAGATTCTATTCTTGCTGTGAGCAGCTCAAGAGAGAGGAAACTGAAACTGGACGTGTGGGAGACAGCCTTTGCATTTGGAGTTATGCAAAAATCAGCCCCAAATTTTAGCGTAACAAGCCTAAAATACTACCTCTAAGATTTAAGAAATTCTAAGAGATACTTTGCCACTAATCAAAGCAAGATGGGAGAAGGAGGGAAGATAGAAAAGTACCTGCTTCTATGTATTCTGTCTTTGAACTACATACAGAATTGTGTGTGACTGTGATAGTGTACTATAAAAGAACTTACAATATGACAGCTATTTCTGTTTAGTTTTCATTTGGTAATTGAAGTATTTGTTATTAAAAGAAATTAAGGATGGAGGGAGAAGCTAGCTGAATGATGCAGTTTGGAGGGAGAAAAAACCCAAACCCAAACCAACAGCAAACAAAACCCAAACAAAATCAGAGGCAACAGCAGAAAAACAACACACACAACCCTAATTGTGCCCCCCCCATGTATGTAGGTAGATATGGGTGATAAAAGCCATTGTAAACATTCTGGTTGGTTTGCCCACTGCCCTTAGGGCATGCCCTTACTGTAAACCTGAACAGTTTCTATTCCTTATTTAAGGGGACAAGCTTGCCATCAAACAGTTTGTTTTTTCAAATTCAGCATTTTTCCTCAGCAGATATTTTGATGGAACAGAATAAATATCCTTTTCATTTTTTTATGGTGGCGTGTGTAGAAACTAAACATGTAGGGAGATCGCTGGATTTAAATCAGCAGCTCTATAGCCACATTTTGAGATCAAGTAAAACCTGCAGTGTTTACGCTTGTAGTAGTACAAGGACCTTCCCCTGGCTTTGCAGTCAACTTCGGAGAGAGCACTGTCATTCACCTGCTTCCTCTCCACCTCCATTCTTTTGATATCTTTGCATACAGTTGCTGCAAGTTATTTGATTGCTAAAGAGCACAATGGTCTTTGGCCCATGGCTTTTATTTGGCTTCAATATCCTGTTGGGGTGGGACTACCCCCTTCCCCAGAAATCATTCTGCAGAAAGCAACACTGCACCCTCAAATATTCTAGACAAGCTTTTGAAGAGACATTTGGAATACTTCAAATCAGGGCTGCGTAATTGAAAGACTTGAGGCCAAGTCTAGACAGTGACCAATTTTAGATAAACTTCAGCTACCTGTATATTTTCTGAAATAATGAATATATGAAGGATAGATTAATGGAAATCTGATAGCCTTTAAATTTATCTACTATCTCTAGCCATTTGTCGGATTTTAAATACTGCAGTAATAGCCTAGATTTATACTTGATTTACTGTTAATGATCTTTAAATTGCTTTAAAAGATGATATAATAGGCTGAATTTTTCTACTGAAGAAATTTTTTTAGTTTATTTGAAACATTTTTTTTTCATTGGTTATTAAATTTGATCTTTAGCTAGAATTTTGGAAGTGTTTTTTTTTTCATAGACTGGTGTGTTTTAGTTAATACAGTAATAAAATTTATCTTTTTGAAGGTAACATTTTGCATGCTCACTTAATAGAATATTTTATTGATAAAGAACTGTAGACTTAATTTCTTCTAAACTGGCTTCAGCAGTCTATTATTGGTAGAGTGTTAAAATAACTATGACTTCAATTTCCTGTTTGCATTTACTAAGGGGCGTGTTTCTCCCTCCAATCTAGAGCTACTAAATCTTTTGGAAAACTTTGTAGGAAATACCTCCCTGACACTTGTTTTAATTAATGCATTTTTAAAGTACTTGGACAGTAACAGTTACCTTTCTCCTTGAAAACTTTCCCTTTCTTTCTGGCACCTGGAAAATTAACTGAAAGCAGATTGTGAAAGAGATTATTTCCTACAATGCTGAGTGAACTTAAACTTACGTTCTTGCTTTTGTAGTACTTGATGTTCCTCTTTCTGTATATGCTAACAATGTAATATTTTGTAAAATCTATTCAGGTGTAGAATTTGGTGCTCGAATGATCACTATTGATGGAAAACAGATAAAGCTTCAGATATGGGATACAGTAAGTAATAAATCATAAAAATTGTTTAAACTTATGGCCCCCCTAACTTTTCCTTTATTCTGGCTAAGCTCTATCACCAGCACTCATATACTATGCACTTTGTCTTGCAGCTTTCTTTGGCTTATATGAAGTTAAAAATTTGTAAAATTTCCTTTTTTGGTGTGATGTCTTCTTAGTGCAATTTTTTTGGTATTTACACTTATTTCCTCGACACTGTCAGATTGGTAAGACTGGAATTCATGCTGTCTCACTTTTTTGTGAAAGTTTGCTATATTATTAAGAACTTAGATTTCTCTAAATAATCTTTCTTTGTGCATTTATGCAAGATTTGGTAAATACAGCATCCTGTTGTGATCTGTCTACTAGCTTTAATCAAGTTCTCTAGAGGAAATGTTTGCATTTCCAAGGTAGAAGAAAACATATGGCTCACTTTTCATAGAAGAACGCTTAAGAACACAAGTTCACTGTAATCATGAAGGTAGTAAATACTTCAGACAGTCAAGAAGGGATTGGTAAAAGCTTAAAGTTTCAAAAAGCTTTCCAAAAATCAGACTTCGACTTCTGAGGCGGTTCAGGTTAAGAACATACATTTGCTATTTTCTTCTTGTCACTTTACTATAGAGTAGTCAGCCTCACTGTCTACATGAAGCAGCTTTAAGATGTTCATACTGATAGCTGTATCTTTCAAATGTGTTTAACTGTTCCCTAAAGCAGAGTTGTCTGTTTCCTTTTCAAAAAGCGTTTTAGGATACCTTTAGAAACTGACAGGTACATGAGCCATAGCCTCATATATGTGCTCTTTTTGGTACAGCAAGTCAGTGAAGGATCATGCATTCGTATATGCATGCCTACATATGTGCATGTGTGTATTAAAATGTAAACTTAGTGAACTGCATAGGTAAGACCTTACTTATTTTACCAGTTCATGATGTGAAGTGGCATCTAACACCCGTGTCTCCTTGGAAGTTCTCTGTGAAAAGGTATAGAACAATATAGTCAGCTTATATATATATAATGATATGGTTAGGCTTTTTCTGCCCTGGACATTTTTACTATTATAATTGTGCATTGCTGATTACCAAGATGGCTGAGCATTTTTAAGTTCAATAAACAAGCAAATCTCTGCGGAAACAGTAACTTGATAATCAAACCTCTGGTGTGTCATGTGACTACATGAGAACATACTTAGATTGGTCCTTGTTTTCTAAAATTGGGACAGATTCTCTGTAACCAAAAGTGCTAATTTTACTACCAGTGCAACCACTGTCTTTCATTGGCTTTTGAACTGATTTTGTTAGTCTCCTTAGATACAAATGAACTACAACTATGTTTGAGTAGATTGTGCTTGTCTTAGTGCCTCTGACTCAGTGGTTTTTTGGGGTCTGTCGCCTTGAATGCGTGCAAATTATCTAATAGCCAGAATGTCAACCTAATTGCTTTTGACTATAATTTATAAACTCCTTTTGAGCAGGGATTTTTTCATGGATAGTTTCTTAAGTATATCATACAGAAATTAAAAATATTAATTGAAAACTTTCATACACTGAATAGACTGTATACTTATGTTATAAGCAATGAATGACTTAGTGTATTTGCCATAGTTAAAAATTAAACTATTTTAATTTAAAGATTATTTAACTATTTTAATTTAAAGATTATAATCTGATTTTTAAAACATGGGATATTTCTATTCCAATCTAATCTTGACTTGTAAGCATATCTGAATTCTGCTGTCTCAGTTTTGATCTTGCGTGCAAAGGTGTTGAAGGAATACCAAAAATAACAAATATGATGAGGTAATTATCAAGGGATATTTTACTTATGAGTCTTAAGTCACACAGAAGTGTCCATAATGACCAAGGTTACTATGCCTGTATCATGTATATGCATTGAGTATTTCCTGATTTTCTGTTAGCACCAGAAACAGTAGCAGTTTTGGCTATCTCCATATTTGTTAAGCTGGAACAATTTCTGTTTAATTAGAGAAAGTTCATTTTACACCTATTGCAAAGGAAACAGGTGAAGTATTTTGTTTCTCCTGGTGCTTACTGAGTCACACACCAGCATCTCTCTGATTTAGTGCTAGCCTTACACACCTGCTTTTAATTAATCACTGAACAGGATGCATCCTTAGCAGATACATAAGAAGTGGAGAACTCGATAAAATTTGTTTTGATTGTTTAACAATAAACTTGCTTTTTTAAGAGAATCAAAAATGTAAATTCAGATTTTTCTGACTCGATTCTTCTAGGCAACGGTGATGATTTTGTGTTGTCTTCAGCAGATCACTGCAGCTCCAAGGAAAGGCGTGTCTTAGTAAAGGGAACATATGAAAGCTGCAGCATGCCTTACTGCAGGAGTATGCTGTACCTTACAGGGGCAGCTGAAGCTAACACTGTTGTATGTCTCTGAGATCCATTTGTGTGCCCTTCTTCTATTATAACTCAAGAATATTTTACTTTTTCATTAGCATCTTAGTTTGGATTAGGATTGTGTTATGGAAGTTAATTCTGCTTACTGCAGTCTGTTTTTGATATGGGAGTATACGAACTGAATTCCTTTTGGATGAGGCCAGACTGGAAGATGTGCCTAAGGAATGCATGTATGCCCATTAGAAAGTAGTCCAGTATATGGTCCTGTGAGCTGGTAGTCTAGTAGAACTAGTCTGATTGAAAAAGACACTCATCCTGAGGAAAAAAACCCCCACAGCTGAAAACCCACATTCTATGAAAGATTCTAAGTGTGGCCCTCACATACTTAGTGTTAGGTTGCAGTCTTGGCTCTGCTGTTCATGTCAGCACAAGCAAGTAGTGTGACCTGTTGCTCTCTCCCAGCTGCAGGCTGCTCTGGATCTCCCCACTGCTGGGCTCTGCAGGCTGGCTGCTGCGTGCTGTGGCATGCCCAGGTGTTTAGGTCTGTGAGTCCTTGGGTTTCATTTTTCCTTTTTGATGCCTTTAGGTCAGTCAAGAGGAGTGGAGTTATTGGACCAAATTGTTCATTTGTCTATCTTGAGTTTCTAGATTATTTCTTTTCCTGTGTCTTTAATCTTAGTAATGGCTTTCAATAGGTGGATAGACTGAGAAATGCTTTTCTCCAACTGATTAGTTGGTAATTGCCTATTATGATAAATTAAGCTACTCTTTTGTGGGAGTGTGGTATTTGAGCTTGTGTCAGCTGCACTAATATCTTTTAGGGAACTAGAAGTGGTGTACAGCAGCAATTAAGGATTAAAATGACTGTTCTGGAAGCTGCTAAGCTTTCTGAGTTTAAACAAGCTGTGTAGATGAGGTTGATTGTCTTGTGGCAGCAACATAACACTGAGAAATACTAAAATTGCTTCTCCTCAGAAAAATTTCATTGTTGTAGAGAGACACTGGCTTGTTACCAGGCTGAGTCAGTGGCCTTCATTTTGTTGTTGAGGGGAATGTTCCCTATTGTGTTGACTGTTACTAACAAGTCGTTGGTGAGCAAAAGTGAGCAAAAGTAAGCAATAGTTGAAAGAGGGTATTTAAGTTCTCTCAGACACTGCAGCAGGAGAGATCAAAGATGGTACTAAGTAATACTACTGTCCTCTGAATTGATATGAGTAAGAATTTTTCCTGTGTATTTAAATACTGTATTTTTCAATATCTATTTCAGCTTTGTTTCATGGAAATCTGTGATTAAAAAACATTTTTATTAAGTTTATGTACCACCTTAGCATTGCTCAGACAGATGAAATATCTGAAATAGTTGTGTTTTATAAGCTAATTGCAAGTAAGTGCTTGGTTTCCATATGAGTGTGTTTTCTGGTTGAATTGACTGTGTTTTCTTTTTTTTGTGTGAGAGCTCACACAAAAAAGCATATTTGTGGAAGACAGGAGACATAACTGTTGAAAGTATACTTCACTTTCAGATATTCTGAATATACTAAATCTTCTTGGAAATTAGGTTATTTTTCATGTAGTTGCAACTGCTTTAAATCTAGTAGAACCAAATAAAGTTTCCTCATTCATTAAATGAATATTCATTTCATCTTACTGATTTTGACAATTGCTAGGATGTAAGGTTCACCCCCAAGAGTTCTTTATCAACTGTCTGCTTCATGATATTTTCTACTTGCTTTGGTAGTCAGAGCATACTCTTAGTTCATGGACAGTTGGTGTATTCTTTCATACAGTTTTACTAATTTGACTTGTCAACCCTGGAACCTGCATGAACATGGCTGCATGTCATGACCCTCTGTAACACTGCTGTGAAGTAACATCAAGAACTTAAAGGATCTACTTTGGTTCCTGAAACTAGTTTGATCATCAGTTCACAGATTGTGTTTGCTGCTATGTGGAAGGATTAACTTATTTCTAGATGCATGTATCGGAGAGTGGGGTAGGGAGATTTGTCCATTTGATGGTTAGTTCTATTGCAGTTTGTGTAATATGACCATCATCTGAACTTCAGTGCTGGTTGCTAAGTTATTGTTCACACCCACGCTGGCACTTCAAGAAGCTGAGGCAACTTGATACACCTTTTATCTTAGCATTCATAAACCTTTGTCATGCTTAAATGTGTTTGGTTATTGAATTACTGTAATATCCCTATGTTTTTTTCTGACTGGTTTTAGATTTCTTATCAGTTTATCTATGGCTTTCTACAATAGTGGAGCAAACTCTTGCTCAGGATAAGGCCTTAAATAGGAGAAGTGTGACTCACATTTTTCCATAGTAGAACTCCCATTTTAGTGAGGGTAGCTACTTAAAACCTAAAGGTTTCAAATACCTTGAAATAAACCATAAGTGTACTTGTAATAATGGAAGGCTAAAGCTTTATTTCTGTGATGTGTTGGGAATTGCTTTGGATGTCTAAATGACATTTATTCAACACCAGCAGAAGAACAGGCAGATGTACAAATTGTCTGTATTTAGACATATGTACAGTTTCACCCTTGAGGATCTTTAGTCCACTTGAAATTTCAGCTCTTACGTCATGCCGATGGGGTTATTCTGAAGCAACATGTAACTTAGCTGAATCCTTCACAAAACTTCTGACACTTTCTTATGTTGTTATGGATTCTTCTTCAGAAACATCTTTGATTCTGTTCTTGTTTGGGAATGACTTTGCTGGAAACAGCAGTGCTTGGTTTTTATTTTTACACTACTGTGCCTATTTGTACTACCTGCTAGTAAATCACCTTAAAATTCTGTTTATTCTGGATTAGAGACATGATTGCAAAAAAGAGTAAGGCATTTATATAAACAAGTTACCATGTGACTAAAAGGCTGTTAATTTATTTATAACTTTCAAAACTATATATAAAGGTATGTATTGCTCCTCTCTCTTTCTGGAACATTTTGTTCCAGGGATTGACTTTGTGGAGTAGTTCCCAACTGGCAGCTGTCAGAGGTGATGTGACACTTGTGTGAGTTGGTTGTTTCTTAGATGTCTTTTCACTTTGCTATACAACTTAGGAAAGTGTAAACAAGTGAAATGAGTAATTCCCAATGTGAATGAGATGTTCTGTCACTGGTTTTAACATACCACACACATACACCTGTTCTAAAAGTGAGGGAGTCTAGAGCTACTAGCTATGGTGCATTTTGGTTTCTCATATGTCATGTAGATGTATACTATAAAAAGTTTCCTCCTAGTAAAAACTGTTGGTCAGCTTGGATGGTAAAAGCCTGCTGGGATGCACTCAGATAACTTGGTCCTTGAAGAAACTTTCCAAATTCTTCAGCATTGAGAATAGAGAATTCAGCAAAGTTGACTTTTTTCTAGGGAGATGCTCTGTTGTGGGTCCTGTTTTATTAACTACTTTCTTGTCCTGCATCATGGCTCTTTTCATTTTTTTTTTTCCCTTAGTTTATAGATTCAAAAATATGCAGGTAAAGAACTTGCGAGTAACCCATTTTGCAACTGACACCCATGTGACTACACCACACAGTTGGAAATGACACTGAGATTTCCTCTGGGAATAGTAACACTGGAGTCTTTTCTTAAATGTGCCACAGATACTCTGTGGTAACACACTTGCATGACTTAAATGTTCCTGAAAACTTTAGTGCAGGTCCTAAATTTCCATGTATCTTAGTGACCTGAGGTGATTGATAATGTTTCATGTTTTGCTTACATCATTATTCTGAAATTGTTTTGGTCTCTATACTGAAATATGTTTTCAGAAGCACACAGGATATATATTCATGCAGTTCAAGCGGGGATCAAGATTTTTGTACTCTTTTGAAGACTTGTGACTTCTAGAACTATGATCTAGAACTAAGGCTTTCTTATCAAAAAGTTTGTTAACCAATATGATATGAATTGCAAAAGCTTACAGTACAGAAAACAGCCAGCACTTAAAACATTGCTTGTCTATTAGAGGCCTACGTTTTTTCATGATTAGCGATCTATTGACATCGGACCTAGCACCTGTTTCTCTGAGGAGAGAGGATGCGTGCTCAGGCCTGCTCAGCATGCAGTTTTTGGTTCCTGTAGGCAGCTGTATCTGAGCTGGAGTTTCTACATTTGAAATTGCTGTCGTGGTCTGGCTATTACCGACAATATTGTCCATCTCCCCAGTTCTGCTGCAGTGTAATTCTGACAGTGGGTATAACCAGGGGTTGTCTTGGAATAAAGACTTGTGTCACCTATACTGGATGTAATGTGGCCTTGGGAAATACCCTGTTTAACATTTATTTAGTGACTATTGCCCCCACTATTCCCCACATCACAGCCCCTGACCTTCCCCGTGGTCTGGACATGGATCTGGGCAACCAGCTTTGAATGGTCCTATTTGAGCCGGGGGGGTTGCAACAGGTGACCTCCAGAGGTCCCTTTCCCACCTCAATCATTCTGTGATTCTATGAAAAAAACTTCTTAATATGGAAGAGATAAAAACGAGCAAGTGCTGGATTTTGCAGGAACATGAAAGGGATAGTAATAACAAAACTATACTTAAGATAAAGGGCTTTTCTCTGATATCAAAGCTGATTTGAATTTATACTGAGCGTCTAAACTGTTACTTTTATCTGTTGCTCCTTGTAGCAAGTCGCTAAACTTGGGTAGGTCCTACTTTGCAAGACCAGTAAAGTACAATTATAACACACTTGTATTTTTTTTAAGTTAGTTTTGGCTAATAGCCTACACTTTCTTTTGGTTTTGTCTTCTTTGAAACAGCTTGTCCCCTTGAAAAGAAAGGGAAGGGACAGGAAGCAAGATGTCAGATGAAAAAATGCTTTAAGTAATAATGATACTTTAAAAAAAAAAAAAGCTGTGGAGTATTTTCTGCATACCTAACCCTGCTATTTGACCTTCCAGATCTCATTCAGAATTATACTATTAAAATAGACAGTAAATTTTATATATATATATATATAAAAAAGGTGTTTCTTAGTATATAATACTTTTCTTGTGTTACATGTAAAATAAAAATTAATATAATGAAGCTTATTTACAAAAACTTGGTTTTATTCTGCTTAGAATGGAAGGGAATTCAGTTTGTGTTGTCCATTGGTATAGGTAAGCACAAATTCATTATTGCTGTATGGAAGATGTGTTCCTTTCACCAAAGAAGATACAATTTTCCACCCTTCAGGAAGCAGTGATACTTAAATTTCAACATAGGCAAGTGAGACACAATTAAAAAGTATTTTCAGGATTTATATACTGAACTTCTGTAAGTAAGTGACTCTTTTAAGAATTCACAATTCATACATTCTTGTAAGATCTACTAGAAACCTCTGACAATCTTGCTTGACCGTGATTAATTCACTCGGAGATGAACAATTTCACTGTCAAGGTGGAATTTATGAAGGTGAAACAGGCAATCTTGATGTGGTAGACGAAGTCCAGGTCATGTATGAATTTAGGCAATAGATAGAATACATGGGTAACAACAACTCTATTGTCTGGTTAGGAGGGAAATGTTTCATGTATCTACCATCCACTTGAACTAGTCACCATACCAAGAAAAAGTAGAGGTTGGTGGAACTTCTATGTAGGAAAACAAGTATTGCACTAAAAAACTGTTGGGATTTTTTACTATTTCTCTGTGTATTCTGCTGGATTTTCTGTATTTTACTATCACTGTTTACATCAAGATGTACTTGGACTATCGGCCAAGAGCATGTGCTCGCGTATTCTAATCGCGTTGAAACTATTAAATATGTTGTCTGTATTTCATAACTTTTTTCACCAGAATGGCTAAGATCATGTGTTTTCTTAAACTGAAATAACTGATTATTCTGGAAGATAAGGAAGATTTCTGAAGACTGAACATGCCAAAACTTGTTGTGCCACTGTTCTTGTTCAATAACAGTATGTAGACCAAGTTCTCCTTGAATTCAAGAATTCTTGAATTAATATTAAGAAAAGTACGGTAACTATGAGAAGAAAAAGTTATCCATGCACTAATTTTGTAGGCAGAGCTGAAGGGTAGCTTTTATTTGATAAGTATTTCATTCTTACTTTTCATGGTTTTAAATCAGAGCAGTTTCGTATAGTTTTGCAGATAACTAGCTTACTGCACATAGGGGTTTTTTCAGCATTAATATTAGTATTTCTTAAACATGTTCTGTGTTGTCTTTGAATTATTCTAAAACATCTGTTATTATTAAATATTAGAAGTAAATATTTCTTCTAACAAGTGTCAGGTGCTAGATAGCTCTTCTGAAAAACATGAGCATGAAGAGCTCAAGATCTGAAACTATGAATATTTATTTTTCAGGACTGTTCTTTTGAGCATGTTCTTTTAAGTGCCGAGAATTTTACAGGATACTTTTCTATGAGAACTATCTAATTTACGTGGAATCTAAAGTTTTTCACAGTGCCTATGAAGATGACTCTTGTGTCCTGTAGCTGCTTTGACAAGCATTATTTATCAAGTACAGAGGAAATTGATTAACTGTGGAGCAGAATTGTGTAAAATTGAATTCATGACTATTTTCTGTTTTTTCTTAATAAAATGATTATGAAAGAATTCCATCTGAAGACTGTTGAAAACTGGCTGCAGTTTATGATATAACGGATAAAATCTGCATCCTTGGCCTTCCAACAACCTTTACACCAGCAGATGGTGGGCGTAAAGATGTCATTCATCATTTATTTACAATGGACTTTATTTATTCTAGTGTCAACAGCTGCCCCAGGGAGCGGGTTATTGAATTCAAATGTGAAGCTCTGGGTTATTTGCTTCCTTTCAAATTTGTCTTCAGAGCTTAGTTGCTAGGAGTCCATTCTGTGCTCTAATAATGATTCATGTATTGTGAAGCCATTCAGTAAATTGGGTTGTCAGGGATTGCCAAAAAAGGTTTAGAGGTCTTGTTCCGATTTTTTTTTTTTTTTTTTAAACAACACTGTGCTATAGTCTGTGTCTTCTGCTTGTGTGCCTTCTCTTACTACTGTTGTAGACTTTGTCCCCAGTTGTCCCCTCTCTGATTTCCCCTCCATATTCCTACTTGTCCCTGTCTTCTGAAAAGTAAAATTCTATGATCCTGTAATGCTAAGTTTGTGGTGTTCAGGACCAAAAAATAAATATGAGATATGAAATAATGACACCTTGTTTTCTACAGGCAGGGCAAGAGTCCTTCCGTTCCATTACAAGATCATACTACAGAGGGGCAGCAGGGGCTTTACTAGTGTATGACATTACAAGGTGAGAATACCACCTGGATTACAATGATATGTCTTTGTAGAATTGTCCTATGATATATAGCAGTGCTAAAATGTCTCATTTAGTTTGGCTTTTTGTATAGATATTTGTAGTCTAACATTGTGTCAACTTTCCTCAAGTGCTCAAAATCAGGAAATAGCCTGTGTAATGTATATACTGACAATTTTCTCTGTATAGTAGTTAAGAAAAAGTATACATAAAGGCTCAGGAAGAATGAAACAAAATATTTTTTTACTATTTGACCATCAACCTCTGGATTATCTTTATTGAGAAAGACCTAAAAATATTTCATGAATTCCTTTCTAATGTTTTTATTTTCGTGAGCATTAATTTTTCTTTAATTATAACAAATTATTTTACTGATGTGCCATTCTGCAAAGGAGTGAAATAGTAAAACATAGAAGTTTTGTTTCAAAAGATACCAAGAAACCTCTACTGTTGCTGTGTTTATGAGGTTTGGAAAATACAGGTCTTAATGTGTTAATTTTTTTAGTAGCTGTTCAGAAGTTACAAAGATTTTCCTGATATATTGAATAAAGTCTTTATATGCAGCTTGTAATCTGTAAAATTGTGAGTACTGTGGCTGGCTTAAGAGGATTTTGGAGCCTGAACATTTTCAGAAGTTGCATGCCTCCTTTTGTGGATCCTGGCTCTTACTGCTGCATTGAGCAATGACTTTTACTAGAGATTTCCTAAATGTTTTTCTTTTTGTTCCAGTTTATGTTTAAATATCAGGAAGTAACATATTCTTTCCACTGGATTTCCAATAAATGAATCTTTGATTTGTAAATAAATGGGTTTATTCTGATGATTAATATCTTAAAATCACTCTACAAGTATGAGATTTAATTTTTAGTGTATACATTCTGTAAAAACTGTAACATGCCACATTAGTATATCTCACTTAAAAAAAAGACTTTACTGCCAAAGTTATTATTCAGTTTATAAACTCAGAAAACTATCAATCATTTTCTGCCTTCAGTAGAAAAAGCATTACTATATGAGTATTTGTACTGTTGTTTGAATTGTTGAAGCTGTTGGGGACTTTTAAAATTCTGTTCAGCAGATTTTATATTTATATAAAATTATAGATTCTTACAGCTATAAGAATCCTCTTTACTCTTTGTAGTAAACATGTTTTCAATTACTTTTTAGGCAGAGTTCATTAATGCTCCTTGTTTACAAAGTTTTCGTTCAAGTATTCTACCTCTCACAAAGGGATTACTAGCTTTTATCCCTGGAGCATGTGTACTAATAAATGATTTGATTACTCAAGTAAAGAAGCTGACAAAGAGAGGCAAAAGATTTCTTGAAATACTGTTTTTAATTTTCCTTCTCTTCTATATTAGGAGGGACACTTTCAACCACTTGACAACTTGGTTAGAAGATGCTCGTCAGCATTCCAATTCCAACATGGTTATAATGCTTATTGGAAACAAAAGGTAAAGTTTTATCAGCTATTATTTTGTAAGAGGGAAAGATTTATGACTCTGTATTTCAGTTTTTGTTTTTTTCTTATTTGTAGGAAAAATGTTGCCTTTAAATTCCTTTCAGTCACTGGGCATAGTTCTGTGGTTAATCTAAAATCTCTCCTATTCTAATTAGACTAATACAATGTGCAGCACATGGATCAACTACCTTATGTTCTGAGTATCTTTATTAGAAATAATTTTATTTCTAAAGGATTGACTGTGAGTGCATGAAGTCATGGACTGTGTGAATTACTTTCTCATTATGTTTTTTTACATCTGGAATCACCAATTAGAAGGACCTATATCTCTCCCTTATAAAGAGAATAAGATTCCTAATTTGAGATGTTCTAAAGTGCTTTAGTTTTTGGTTCAGAATCACAGCAGAGAAAATGTCGTTTAAAAATACTCAGAAGCCCATACCACAGATTTCACTTCAGAAACTTCTCTCAAATGTAGAAAGTATGTACCTCAATGATTATACGAGATGCTTCTGAATTAGCCTGTTCCATATTCTGTACCTTTTTTTCCAGGGTTGGAGGCAGAGAATGCTTTTTCACCATTTTCTAGTGAATTCACTGGGTGATGAAAATACAACTAAAAGTTTCAGAAGTGTTACATAATTTGTAAACAATTATTTACTTGGTCTTCTCATCAGCTACACTGTCCAAAATTATAAAATGGTTCCTTATGATGCTGAGACTTTGATCTGTAGTGAAGGTCTTTATAAAAACACATTAGTGAATACATTAAGTTCATCTGTAATTTTTCTAGTTTTCGATGCAGTGAATCGTAGCATCATGTCTAGATTCTTCTGCTGGATGCAGGATTTTTTCAAAATATCAAAAGCATCACCTCAGAATTTAATAATCCATTAGTTATGGACCTTTACCTAATTGACCTGAACTTGTCTCCATGCCTCAGCAATTTTTGAAGGTAGATAGGAGTTGAAATAATGGTGTGTATGCTTGCCCCTTAAAATTTAATTAACAGCTAGATCGTTTCTTAGATGCTGCTGAGAAACAGCCTTGTGATAGAGTGAGTCTGGTTTTGCTACTCAGGCCTGTTCAACTCTGTACTTTCTTCTTCTTCTCTCTCTTCTTCCTTTTATTTTCCCCCTATGTCTACCCCCTGCCGCTACCTCCTCCTCAAACACATGTTAAGCATTAAGTAATTGTGAAGTTTGTCAACTTTTTTTATACCTAATCTGGAAGATGACTGACAACTTCCTTTTTCATTGAGGAATATAATAAGCATAATCTTCACAAAACAATATAAAAATGTTCTATCAAATGAAGCTTTGGTAAGCCTGCGATGTCCCTGAGCAACTGTGTTTATACATTTGTGAATAAAAATATGGCACTGAGAGAAATGTTAAAGTGCACTGTTTACTTGAGATAAGTGTTACATAAGTTTGCATACTTAATTGACATCTCTAACTATTCCTGATTATTCTTAGCTGTTAAACTAAATTTTCATGTCTTACATTCTGCTGATGCAGACTATACCACGGTTTTACATTATAATATGCTACTTGCAGTTAGCTCAGGAATTCCCAGTTAAACCAGGTTTTATTCAAGCAATAAATATTCTTAAAATTTATACTGTAAATTGAGTTACAGATCAAGGTGCCACATGAATTAAAGTTCTTTAAGAAGCTTTTTAAAGGAGATTTTTTTTCAAGGAGGACAGGAAGAAAACTCCTTCAATTTCCTTGCGTTATCCTGAAAGTTCTTATGGTAGGGCAAACTACTAGAGATGGATGGAAGGAAGAACATGTATACTAGCATAATATTTTTGAAGGAATACATACTGTTCTTATGACTCCCAGAAGTGCATTTGACATAAGTTTGTAGTACTGACTTATGGCTGGATTTTAAGAGTGTTGAGAATTTAATTTGAAATATAATGGCTGTTTGTTGAAAACATGACAAATACTAGTGTTAAAACATGACAAATACTGTACTTAATCTTCTTTCCAGAACAAAGCATAGCTATATTGATCTAGTAAGACCAAATGCTTCGAATTATTCGAATGGAGAGAGGAAGACAACTGTGGTTAGTAGAAGCAGTTAAAGCTCTTTAAGAATATGTTTAGGTATCGGTAGTGAATTTTGATTGGGCTGTCACTGCAGTTTTTGATACAGCTGCACTATTTCAAGTAAAAAGTTGTTCATGTTCAGTGTTATCTCCATGACAGAAGTGAATCAAGGTTTTAAGAAAGGTATTCTTGAGGGTAGCATGATCTTAGCAAATAAAGACATTGCTTAGGTTCAAAAAGAGAATGTCAGATAGCTAATACTGGGAGTGCTTAAATATAATGAACATCAATTTCAAAACTGTTTTGAGAAGACATTTCTTGTATCCTTATCTTCAAACTAATTTTTTAATGTTTAAATGATCTGCTGAATTGTATTGACTCTATAACTCATCTGAGCTAGCATTTAGTTGTTAAAAATAACAAAAAACCTGCTTTGCTGCAAAATAGATACCACAGTGAGTATTATTTATTTTTAATATGTGTATAATTACAAGGCTGGCAAACACTGAAGCCCAGTATAATACTTTTTATTTGTATTCTGACTGCAAATTAAACATATCTGTTTGCATGCTGTTTAGTTTAAAAATGTGTATCTGAGGAGATTTTTTTACATGCACAACTTAGATGAGGCTTTACTGAAAAATATATTTTGTGTTTATTATTTGTGTGTGTACCATTGTTGCTTAAGATGTAATATATCTACAAAGAAGGACAAACTGTCTATTCCTAAAGAAGCTTTAAAAAGTGAGAGTAACATGCTTGTCTATATGACTTATAGAAACGGTTTTGTCTTCAGTTGTACAGTCCAAGAGGGTTTTTTTTTCTAGTCTTTTGTGTAATATTTAACTTTCAACTCAATTGCTTGGAAAGCAGGAAGCAAGAAATTGTCTAATAGTCACTTCAATTTCTTTTGCTATTAGACAGTCAGGCCTGGACTTTCAAAACCTAAATGCTAGCTTATTGGGAGAGAACAGCTAATGTAGTTTAAAAGAACTTATTTTTGCTTTAAGATCTTTTTATCAAAACAGAAATGGACTGTATGAAGTTTTGCTACTGAGTAGAAAAAATGAATTTTATTTTTAAAATTATTTTTAATATTAAGAAATAATTTATAAAGCTCCCTTATCAGCTCAGCTCTACAGTATTGGATTGGTAGATAACATTATACTAGAAGAGAGTAATATGTACCTAAAATGATAATGTCTAAAGCTAGTATTCAAGGAATACCTGGATAAGTATACGCTCATCCTATTGAAAGCTATTTCATGAAGTCTTTGATAAGATTTATGTCAGCTAGGATTGATAGCTCAAGCGTGATGCCTGTGGCTATTCTGCATACTGTAAGTGCAAGGCTTACAATAATTCTACCTTATGTAAGGGCTTGAATAGATATCCATATCTACCTAAGTTCTGGAGGGGGCTCTTGGCTTATAAGGCTTATAAGTATGCCAGTGAAGAATAATATTTACATGGACATGTTGGACCCTGTAATAACTTTTTTTTTTCCCTCTTAGTGATTTAGAATCTAGACGAGAAGTCAAGAAAGAAGAGGGTGAAGCATTTGCACGAGAGCATGGACTTATCTTTATGGAGACATCTGCCAAAACTGCTTCCAATGTAGAGGAGGTAACTTTGCTGAACACTGGCATTTTACTAAAACAGTTGCTTTGAATTACACTTTGTACAGATACTATTTCTCTAGAGCATTGATTCCTTAACTACTTTTTAATTTATATTACGAGAAAGGCAATGTCTATGTTGTACCTGATTGCACAGCACTAATTATATTGTTGAGACTTATTAATGTACTTGTGGGGTTTTTATAAGTATTTCATCAGAGAAATGGCTAATTTCTGTCTGCCCTGAAATCTAAGACTAGAATAGATATGCTAGTCCAAAGCAAGCCAAACTATTGGTATTCTTGGCAAATGTAACTCTAACCTGTTTTAAAGCCTCTAATATTTTACAAGCTCTTCAGAGCAATCTATTGCAGTGCTTTGGTATTTGTGTTGTTGTCATCTTTCCACTACCTGGTAGGAATCTTCTTTGCTTCAATTCACACACAGCTTTTTTTTTTCTGTCCTCTACAGAGCTGCTGAAGAGGTCATTGTCTTGGTTGCTGTAGTCTGCTATGTATTTGAATAAGTTTTTCAGTTTTTACTTCTTTAAAGAATTTAAGTCTTTTCAAGTTTGGCTTATAGTTCATATTTCTGGACACATGTGAGTTCTTGCATATCTCACCTTGATGTACTGCATGCCTTTCTTGAAGGGGGGTTATGGTGGGCTGCTCTCAGCCAGCAACTGAATGCCCACCGAGTTGCTCACTTGGTCCCTCTGTCCAGCAGGATGGGGAAAACACCAGAAGAACCAAAGCAAGAAAAATTCAAGGGCTGAGATACAGAGTTTAAGAAATGAAGGAAAGACATGGGGGAAGAGTTACAGAAAGGCAGTCACTCCCAACTGTGAGCAAGAGTGACTTTGACTACTCTTTAGTTTTTATTCTTGAGTGTGATGTCAGATTATGAGAAATAACCTTTAGGCCATGTCATGGCTGTGTTGTGTCCCTTATGATTTTGCCTACCCTAACCCTGATCACTGGCAGGAGGAGGGCAGAGTAAGAAACACAAAACCTTGACACTCAGCATTAGCTAAAACATCAGTGAGTTATCAATACTGTTTTCGTCATAAATCCAAAACGCAGCACCATACAGGCTGTAAAGGAAACTAACTGCATTCTAGCCAGACGCAGTACAGTGGTGAACAGAGAGCTCCAGCTGAGATGTTAGTGCTATGTAAAGCAGAAAGATTGCTTCACATGTCTTTAAAGCCCATACTCAGTTCGTACATCCACAGTGACCTTTTATATAATAGCATGACATAGTTCAGCTTCTTACACTACCTGATCTGCGTTATTCTTCTCCAGAATTGTCCTAAATGCAAAATGTTGTGCAACCAATGAGGTATTTTTAGAGGTAAAGCCTTTTACTTTTGAAATATTCTAGGGAGTTTTTTTTAAAGTTAGAGTAAGTTACACATTGCTTTAACAGAATTCAATCTAGTTTGTTACTACCTGAATCTAACATTATCACCTCTCTTTGTGTCAAAAAATATGTCCTAGTGAATGAATTGTCCAGTACCTAATGCAGCTCTGATTATCAGGAGGCAAATGAGCATAAAGTTCTTTATCAGACAAGTTCAAATAGAATTCTCTCCTGATGATATGAGTGAGTGATTTGTGTGTGTGCTAACTTTCTAATTCTGATGGAAAAGCTTTAGGATACACTCCTTTTCAGTGACAGTCAAGTGCATTCCTTAAATGGTGTTCTCAGTCAACACTAAAATAGGTGGCATGATTTAGAATTGTTACAGCTACAGGAGCAAAATCCTAATCTTTAGCAGTTTCTTTATATGAACAAATCGGCTTCTGTCATTAATGTTTTTTAAGCTGTCTCCTTTGTTTAATCCTGATTTCCAACACTGTGGAATACCTTAGCAAATCTGTAGCTGTAGTAGTGCATTGACCTGTTTGGTGCTTGGATCTTAAGACAGTTTAAAATGTTCATAGTGTTCTTCAGGATTGTCTCATAAACTATAACTTGGATAGAAATGTTTAGCAGTGAAAAACTTCCCATTGGTTCTTTATCTTGTGCAAGGCTGCTGGGGAAGTTTCTACCTTGTTTGCACAACAGGTAATTGATGGTAGGGAGTACAAGTAGGTGTAGGCTCTTCCTTCATAGTTACTTTGGAGACTTCTAAGAATTCACTGTGGCTACAGAGTTAAATCATCATGTTTGATGTGGAATGGTATCAGGCAAAAAGAATTTCTGCATCATCAAGAGGATAGAAGGATTTTGGGGGAAGGTTAGGCACAGGGTTATAATTCGACTGCAGAGCAAGGACAGTTAATGCTAGTCTCTTCAGCAGTATCATATTTATTTAAACAGGGGTTTGTTGTTGATTTCCTTTTAGCCTCTGTCTAAAGCTGTCAGGGTAGCCAACTATCAAAACATAAGTGATTCTTTTGTTCTTTGGCTTTTTTTCTTCTTAGTGATTTCTAAGCTGTATTGGAGTTTCAGTAATGTACACTCCGAGCATGGCTGAGGGCTTTCTCCCAGTAGAATCTTGGTTATCATATTTGCTCTACTTTGTTGAATTGTGGATGGGTGATGTGCACTCTGATGTACTGTTTGCAGACTTCAGTCTTGCCTATTTACTTTTTTGCCTGAGAAAACACTGTGATGCCAGTTGGGGGACTTATACTTGTATATGTGTAAGTCTGAAGTCCCAACCATAGGCAGGTTTGCACTTGTTTTAATCATAACATCCATTGCTTTCTGACCTTGCATTAAATCCACACAAAACACACAAGATTTTTTTTCTCTCATTTGCAAGAGACATTAACAATTTTAGCACATTCATTTCTTCATTGATAGTTCAAGAGTAATATATGGCTGTTAATTGTGGTCTTATCTGCGACCTGCAGTTCAGAGCTTGCTGAGTGCTTTCTGCTTGGGCAGTGTCTTAACACTTGTAGAGGCAGAGTAGAATCACCTGCAAGAACTCAGGGTGATCATGCAGTCTCTTACAGCACACAGTGCTTATCTTTTTGTCCCTGGCATATCAGTGGTTTGGATCCATGTATGTGCACTGATTATCAAGAAGTAGGGATACCTAACTGTATTTGGGAAGCATTATTCTTTCATTTGCACTTTGTGCATGATTCTTTCATTCCATATTTAATACTTAATTATATTAATCAATAATATTATTATTACTATTAATGATGATTAATTAATAATTGATAATTATTAATTATGCATCCAACCTTAAGCCAGAAAGTTTTCTGAATGCTGGTCAAAGCAGTGCCAGACACTATCACTCTTCAGAAGCTGATCTCACTTGAGTTGTACCAGTATCACTGAATCCTGGTGTGGGAGTCAGTTTTACTAAGTTGTTTCCCATATGGAGGGGATTATATATCCCTATGCCAAACTTTTAAGAGCATTGTTTGTGTTATTCCAAGTTGCCTGCACATAAAGAGAATGCAATAATGGTTTCATTGTTTAGGATTAAATCTTAATAGACTAATTGTTTTGACTGAGCAATGGAGCACTTGTGCTACATGGAGCTGGATGGTCATTCAGTGGTTCTGTTTCAGCTGTAACTTAGTTTCCTCTTCGAGCAGCTTCTTTCATACTTTCGCTTAAATGGGTAATGAATATTCAAAGCCCCTGTAGCCTCAACAGTGGCACTGCTTGGGCACAGATAAGGGAAGGAAGATGGCCTTTTATGATATTCTGAAGGGAAAAAATGAAAATTTCATGGAAAGATGAGATTCTTAGCAGCATCTAAATTTGAACTAATTTTTAGGAATGTGTTTTATTTCCCTTCCACACCCTCCCTGAACATAACTAATTGCTGGTAAACAAACAGTTGTTTGACCTGGTAGTATAGTACAATAGGGATTTAATTAATAAAACTTGAAAGTCCTAGGATGTTAATACTTTTCTTAGTGAGGTAGAGTAATACACAAGATGTAATCTGACTAGAACTTGCAAAAGAAGCAGGATTTCTAGGTCATGAGTCTTTAAAAAAAACAACCAAGCAAACCAAAACCTAACAGTTACGTATATCTTAACTTGTATGAGAACCAGTATTCCTTCAGGTTCCTGGAAATCAAAGTTCTGTGACGTTTCAGCTGTGTGAAACTTCAGCTAGTTTCTCCCATGAGAAAATGGGGTTGGAGCTCATGTCGGTTCAGCTGTGGGAGGGAAAAGGGGCAGGACACCTGTCTCCAGTGAAGATTGACAGCTTTTAGCTTCTTGTGCCCCAACTACACAGTAAGGAACAGTAGCTCTGCCATGGTTCTTGGGACTTCTGGGCATCTTGTGATATGATGGGAATAAAAGGTCTCGGTTAATTGAGAGTCTCAGGCTTTATAGAAGAGCATGAAGTGTATGATACTGCCTGCCTGACCTGTAGGTTTCTGGAGAGATGGATTCTTACTTCTGAGGGTTTCATCTTTTTTTTTCCTCGGATATTTTATCCTTTGTAACTCTTCAACAGCAGCTACAGGACTTTTCAAGATAATTTGAGCTCCAATAATGTACATCTTCCCAGTAAGTTTATCAGGAAATTGTGCATCAGTGCAGACATATAAAGAAGTTGCTGTCAGGTTCTGTTTTGTACTTTTGCACCTATACTGAAAATACAAGGCTACAAATGTGTTGGGGTTCATTATACAGCACCTTACTACTGCTTGATAATTAACCCCTCTGCAGCCCTTTTAGTGTACTAGGCTTCTTTCTGAAAGATCCTGTAACTGTAAAAAGTATTGCTTTACTATGTGTGCATAAAACAGCTGCTCAGAGCTTTGGAATCTCACTGTATTTAGTAGCCATCCAGCACCACTTACACACTGTGGTGGTAAATGTAGGGGTAAATCCATTTGTAGTCCATGTTTGTTACTGTTTCCAAATGCATTCTTAAATACTAGAGTAATCTAACTGTATCATATCATATTGCTAGAAGATAAGATGCGAAGTTGGAGAGGAGGAGGAAATTCCTGGTCTTGGCTGACCACAGAGGTGAGGGTCATGCTTTAGAATCTGTGAGGTATTTAATCTTTAAACATTCCTCATTTAATTTTAAGAAAGAATCCAGAATTAATGATTGCCCAATTTTTATTGCCAAGCATTAAATTTAGTTTTAACATTGCCACCAGAGGGCAGCATGTTCCACGAGCTGGCCATGCTGAAGCTGATCGCATCTGATTTTAGGCAAAGATGAACTTGTAAAGTCTGAGTTTTGAAAAGTATCAGTGATTCATTGACAAGTTTTTCCTGTTATGCTCAGCTTGTATCTAAGTCCTCAAATTCTTGTCATAGCATTAACTTTCTAAGGAAGAGAAGTGACATTATTGACATCTGCAAGTAAAAACTAACTGTAGCTGTTCTATAAGTTGGATTCTGATACTTTAGCTTATTATTACTCCTGCATACAGCTTCCATAAGACAGAGGTATCAGGAACTTATTCCCTTATTTCTCGCATGGTTTTTACGAGTTATAGAATTCATTCTTCCTGGTTTTGTCTTAGGGGAGTAAACCTACATTACCTTGTTCACTTGTGTGATTACATGAATGTTGAAGTTGATATAATTCTACATTCAGTGTTTTTAGGATTAATTTACCTTAAGTGCAGCATCTGTACTGTTTGGTAGTTGGAGTTTTGTGTTTTGGGTTGTTCGGGGGTTTTTTGAGGTGAGCACTGTGAGACTTCTTGATTCTCATGTTGCAATATAATCTAGGAAACTCCTTATACAAATAATCTGAAGTGATATTATACTGGTATATTGTGACTCAAAAGCCTCTTTTGTTAGCTTTGCAGTAGGTGCAGGCGTGACACAACAGGCAGATCATGTCTTGCAAGACTCACTTTCCCACTTGTACAGCAACACAATTTTCCTCAACGGGGTATTACTATTATTTGAGAACCTAGTTTTAATGAGCACACAATTGAAAACCACATTACATTAAAACAAATCACTGAATAACTTGCATACAACCTTTTTTTTTTTTAATGCTGTGGTACAGATATATTCAGTAGTCTCATGCATAAAAGGATCAGTTAGTTGTGATTTAGAAAGATTAAAACCAAGAGTTAAACATTAAATGTAGACATTTTCCTGAAGTTACATTGTTTTCTTGAATTTTCCTGAAATGTAGTCAAGAATTTTTATGTTTGGAAATCTAATATACTGTTTTTGCAAAAGTCTCTCACTTCTTTTCTGAGTAATAGAGATAGTATGTACTAGAGTCTTGCCATCTTTCAGGTGACTTTGTATAAATCCAGGCTGAGTCTGGTACTATCTCTCCTGGAGTGGTGAAAATAAAACTCAACCTGAGCTGATGTGGGATGGAAGGGTTCAAGTGTCTTTGTATAGTGTTTTAGTAGCAGCAACGTTACGGGAATGTACGGTGCAACTGCAGTAGGCTTGCTAGGCAGCCAGCTGAGTCCATGTGGGCTTACTGGTTGAGGTCTTGTGTTGTCTGGAAATGGCTAAACTGCACCTGGATCCAAGTTGGTGTGTGAAGTGCTACAACTGTGGTCTTGCAGTCCCCTACACATGGTCTAATAAATCCAAACTGGATTTGAGGGGAAACAGCTCTGTATTTCTGCATCTAGGGCTCAGTTAATCTGCAAATAGGATAAACTGCCCATAAATAATTAAGAGTTTGTAGTATACTGCATGTTCCAGATAAGAGTTAGAACATGCAGTATTAAAAGAGATTTTTAGAAGAAGACAATTACACCAAGTTCACCTTCTTGTCCTTGCTAATTGGGGCACTAGCATGCAATGCCAAAATCTGATATGATATTCTTAGAGCAAGTAGACTGCTGTTTTCAGTGATGTTCTCAGGTGGTTATTTTGAGTCTGCTTACACTTTGAAGTGTAAGTGAACTTAAAATACATGGATGCAAGAAACAAATGGAAGTCTCAAGGGATTCAAGTCTCTTTTCATGGCTGATTAGTAGCAATTTTTCAGAATCCATACCAAGAAGAGAACATCAGGTAGACTCATTATGTGCTATATTCTTGTCAAACCATTGTTTTCAAATAGGAATTATTTCTGTGACCCAGTGCAGCCTGGCATTTTGCCATGTGGAATAACAGTACGTGCTGTTTTAACACTAATGTGTGGTGCACCAGAATCACTAGGAATGTGACTGTCAGATATGTCTTTCCAAGAGAACTTAAATGATAGAACTGAGATTAAAATAATAATTGGATTTTTCAGGTCAACAGTTTCTTAGACAATATGTTTAATATTAAAATAGACTGTACTGAACTCAGTGCTCTATTGCTTTGTACATTACACGTGTAATAACGGGGGGGATGTTCGTGTTTGTGCAATGCTGTTTTCCAGTGCATCTTGCATTCCTACAGTGATCTGTTCTTGAATGTAGCATCCAGGAGATAATTTGTAATCAATTGTGTTAGTTTGGAGTTTCTAGTCTGTTAAAATCCTAGTTTTGTTGCTCTAAAGTAATTTTTGTAGATGTAATGTAATTCTCATGACATAAATTCTAAGAGCCTAGGCGTACTTAGCCAGCATGTTCTAGAATTACTAGAAGTGCCAATTGTTAAGTGCTTGCTTACATGAAGTTATCATAATGCATTTTTAAGACTTCAAGTTCTGTTTCATGTCCCACTGAAGTAGAAGCAAGCAAGTATCCTTGTAGATTCCAGCTGTGTGAATTTCCAAAGTTTTTGACTTATACCTTTCAGTAGGCCCATGTATGAGGCCATTACAATAATTAGTGTGTTATCAGAAACAAAGATAAGTTTGAATTTTTTTCTTATGTGTAAAACTTCAGTTTCTGAGGAATTCGAATCAATTCATAGTTGGCCGAAAGCCAATTTTTCTCCTCAACTCTTAACATGTGTTTGAAAAACGAACTCACTTCCTAAGTGCCTTGTGAATCTGCAATGATTAATTCTTCTCATTATTTTGCTGCAAATTCTCATGACCCTCTGTGATGATTCGATCACCCACTTAGAGTTTATGCATATTCATATCTTTCCGCTCCTGCTCTAGTCGTTCAAGTCTCCTTCACTGACTGTGGTGTGTGCTTGGTGCAGTAATTGAGCTGCAGTAGATTGATTACTCTGGGGAGCTGTAAGGCCTTTAAAGGTGAAAACATATCAGTCCTGTTAATTAGGAAACAAAGCTCTGGTGGCAAGTTCAGCAGTCAAATGCTTCCAGTGTAGAAATGAGGAAAAGTATGATTTGTTCCTCTCCATGAACCCTGTTTACTTTTTTATATTTGAATTAGATCTGTATTTGCTATAATAGGCTTCTGCAGAAAGTAGCATGTCCTGTATGATTGCATGGTGTTGGTATTTTAAAACAAAAAGAACTGTATGTTTATTGTAATTACTAGGTGCTGTTAATTACCTCCTAAATGATACATTATTTTAGGCATTACTTGACCTATAAAGCTAAAGGAGAGATGAAGAGTGGAATCACTGATTGTAAACTTTAACCAAAAACATTTATATCAGTCACCTTTTCAGTCTTGAGTGTCAAAGTATTTTCTCTGAATTAAAACAATAGATCTTTATATAGAAATTGTTATAAAACTTAGGGCATCTCCTTTCTTTTATTAAGATGTCTGTTGCCTATTGTGTGCAAGATTAATTAAAGAGAATACATTCTTAAAATTAGGTGAATATTAAATGATAGCATAAGGTTTCATCCAGCAGACAGCATCCTTACATCATCATGGTAAGTACCCTGTGGTTTTATGTTGCTAAGCACTCTAATCTAGAGTGGCCTATTACAAAGATATTAAGGGTAGGGGAAACCATCTGCCACACAATCTATCCATAAGGGTCAGAAATAAATAATTTAGAAGTAATTTATATATCTTAAAAACCACTTTTTCCCTGTAATTACTGGACAACAGATTGTAGAATACAGATGTTATGAAAGTGCCACTGTTTTTGTAAACAGCGGGTGATCCATTGCTGCTTCAGGGTAGGTTGTAGGATGCTGTTGTCATACCTGTTCCTGCAGAGGTCAGGAAGGAGAGTCTTGCTGAAACAACTGCACATGAGATTGAATTCCAATTAGTGCGTCTTACACCAAAGGATATCTCATTCATTGTGTTTGTGGTCTTTTTTCCTCTGTTTTAGGCATTTATTAACACTGCAAAGGAGATCTACGAGAAAATCCAGGAAGGAGTTTTTGACATTAATAATGAGGTAACTTTTAGTACTTTGAACACTCTGTTTCCTTTTTAAAGGTACAAAATTCACCTTCCCTAGACGGCTGGACAGTAAAAGATTTGTCTGTTCCATTTGGATGTAGAATTGTCTGCCATTGTGATAAAAATGGATTAAAATAAGTGACCCTATCCATCCATGAAGCATCGCAAAATAATATAAATCCCCAAAAGAGAAGAAAATCCACTTTCATCCACTTCTCCATATGGTGTCATCTGTTTTCAAAGATAATTTTCCACTATGTAAATGGGGGACCATGTTGATATGCCAGATGCACTCCATGAGCTGTCCAGTGTAGGGGAGGGATTGCTTTGAGAGTTACATAAAAGACTTTTAAAATGTTCCTGGTTTAGGTGGCTGAATACTGTAGGGAATAAAAGATTAGCCATTTTGCCTATGCACATTACTGAAATTACAAATTATTGAGGCCTGTCCCTTTGCTTGTTTTGGGTGGGGGTAGAGACGTGGAGGAGGGAGCACTTTTGTAATGCAAGAGCTTAGAAAGACTTATAATGTCTCTCTTGAATTTTGAAATTATTGTGCTGTGGAAAATCTTGAGCAGTTCGGAGAGAGGTTCTTGGCCATAGAAAAAGCAGATTCAAATTCAGTGGTGGTAAATAGACATATTAGTGTTGTATAGAAATGTTAAAATCATATAAGCTCTCTGTTAACATTCACATAAAAAGTCACACCACATAAAGTTTAAATTTGACAATGTGGTTGGTCTTTCCTGATGTCCAAGTTGGTATTTTAGCTTGCATGTCCCTCAATATCATTGCTGAGGTGCTCAGGGAAACCACACATGTAAGTCTGCACCACCACTGTGTTCTGTTTCTGTTCTGTGAGTGGGGGTGTCCGGGACTGTCAATCTGAGGCTTCTCTTAAACATTACAGTCCTTGCAGAATTGCTTAGAGTGGTGAGGGAATGGGCAAGACTCAATTAAATAGCGTCACCTCTTTCTGCTTAATATATGTCAACATGAGAAAACTTAGACTATTAAAAATATTGCTGATGACTTCAGAGAGGAAAAAATGAGAAACTTCAGTAGTATGCAAAGTACTGCATTAGGAAACTTGTAGCTAAATAAGACTTGAATAATAATCCTTCAGAGACACTAATTCTGACTGGAAAGTGTGTGTGTATGTGGTGTTTTGGTGAAACATTTCTTAAACTCCGTTCACTGATGAAAAGTTTAAAATTTTCTTTCTTGTTTTTCCTGAAGACAATGCGGTTGGTAGTGCAATATGAATTGGAGAGCAATCAGAGTTTCTGAACAAGCATGCTCGCTGTATCTGTCGAGTCTCATATAGTAGCTGACTGCTTTACTGTGCCTTATGGAGCTTTGATTGCAATATGCTGTCAAAAGCCAACAGTCCGTGCTACTTATTTGGCTTTATGCCAAGTCTGGCTCCTTGATTCCTCAAGAAGTTGCTATCAGCCCAGAGGGGGCAAAACCAATGAGCCATAGGGCATGCTTTTTATTAAAGAGGAGTCAAAGAGCGAAAAGAAACCACATCAGCTGCTGTCAATACTGAGCAAGTGCCAGAAACCCGAAGGCTACCACTGCTGCAGAACAACTGCCAAGCACTATAAATCTGAGATTTGCTGTGACGCAGAGTTTCCTTAAGAGCTTAATTTCTGAAGCTACTGTATTACTTTTCTCAAAGTGCTGTATTTTTAGGTAAAATCCACTTGAGGGAGTGAGGGTTAAGATATAAGTGTGATTTTGATGAATGAAAGAGCTACGCTGTGTGTGGGTTCTTGGCAAGTAGCCATGTCTTTTGGGATCACAGAAATTATTGATGACACAGAACACTCGTATGCCCTTAGCCTCTACAGCTGATTCAACACAGAAAGAAATGCTGTCTAGAGAGGAAAAGTTTTATATTAAACTATTAAACTAGTGGAGGTTTTGGCAAGAGGGGAGAGGTTATACATTCTTAACAAATGCTATGTATTTTTAAAGCCTCATGCCAAGTAGTATTCAAATACAATTCTTGCTTTGTGAGGTTTTTTTGTTAGGAGTTTAAGCTACAGAGTGTAACATGGAAATAATATTTAAATGAGAAGGAAGGAAGGAAGGCATCTTCTTTTAAATTATATTTAATCACTAAGGACGCGTTACTAAAAAATTACAAACTTTGCTATATTTATTGTATGCCTTAGGAGAACTTGCTATATTCTAAATAGAAAAAGCAGCTTTTAAAGTATATTAGTCTTTTAAAGTATTTACACTGTGTATTCAACTTTATTTCAGGCAAATGGCATAAAAATTGGCCCTCAACATGCTGCTACTAATGCAACACTTGCAGGCAATCAGGGAGGACAACAAGCTGGAGGAGGCTGCTGTTGAGCCTGTTTTTACTTTCTAGCTGCCTGGATGGGGCCTACTAACTTGTTTGTTCACCCTTCCCTCCCCCCGCCCCGCTCGCCTCCACTTCAATTCAACTGAGACATGAAACTTGTAAGTTGGTTTCCTGTTGCAGAAGACTTTATCCTTCAAATTCTTGTATAACTTTGAATAAATGGTTAATGTTCACTTAAAGACAGATTTTGGAGATTGTATTCATATCTATTTACATTTGATTTCTAGGTCAATTGATGTGATTATTTTTGTTAAATGTTGTCTTGTGCCCTTGACTACGAACTGAATTGTATTAAACACTACGAAGTCATCTGAGTATTTTAATCAGTTTGTGTAGTTAGGTTTCCCAGCTCCTGCGGTTACCTAATGTTTAATATTGTAGAGCTGTCCTCAAGTTTTTTGTCAATTTTCAAGGCTATGAAGAGAAGCGGAAGGACTCTTTTAATTCTGTATTTATCACTTTCTGTATATATAGTTTAATAACCTGCTTGGGTGTACTTGCCAAGCTAGAATTCTTTAATGCATTTGCATAAATTCTATACTACTTAGAGCTTGAAAACTACAGAAGCATTAATAGAAATTGCTTGGATGCTAAATTTTAAGCCTTTTTGACATTGTTAGCATGTTCATGCTCCCCATCATTATCCTGAAGTCCAAGAGAGATGCTTAATGTATATTACTAGAGGCTACATGCGTGCTATCTATTTTAATGCCAAATGTTTGCTGTTTGTCCACAATTTCCACAGCACCTCTTCAGAAATGGATTAGCTGTTTGCCTTAACAAATACTATAGGTAAAAACAGAGTATGAATGAAAAGTAGAGGAGGAGTTGATAAATTTAAAATGGCACATTATAAAAACATTAATCTTTTCTCAATGTTTTTTTCTTGTTTACCACTTGATTTCTAAGTATATTTTTCATGCAAGGACAGTTTTTCAACCTAAATGTATAGTGGTTGTGTAAAGTTTTCTTTTAGTGACAACTTGTAATCCTAAATATATGGTAAGCATCTTGTCTATTGTGAAGAGGGTGTGAAAATAAAATCTGCCAGTTTGGAAATCTTGATGAAAATCAAAACTAGAAATGTTTTGGTACTTATTATGGTGGTGGCTGGGGAGGGCAGGTTTTGCCTCAAGTGAAAGGGTTGCAACAGTACAAAACAAAATCCTGTGTTTAAGCATTTATTTGTTAGAATACAGTGTTCATGTCACTTTTCCTACAACTGTGCAAACGACTGAGTTTCCATCTCATCCTATCTAAATAATTGCAGATAAAAGAGTGACACTAATGCTAGGCCATGCTTCGTGTATTGGGGGGAAAAAAAAGAGGGTGGGGGGCAGTGACTGCAAAACTTTGTCTTACTGGACCAATACTGACCACAGCACAAAACAGGAGAACTGGGATCCTCATGTTACCCATTCCGATTGTCAGAACTTTACATCCAAAGTGAATAACTTCAGCCTGACAGGTGTAACACAGCAGTGGTTCTAAGATTAAATAAAATTTGAAAAAATGTGTGGAACCTTTTGTTGGTATCTACGGGCAAGGGCAATCAGTATGGATTTATGTTAGTTGCTGACTTACAGTTCTTTTCTACACACTTAGGAACATTATCAGCAATGCAATATAATTGTTTTCAACTATTTATTAAGAGGTTACTCAATTTAGATACTTTCAACTGTTAACTGTTTATTATATGAAGTTTGCATTTATAAAGGACATTTATTGTTTCAGTTGAAGTTTGAAAATTGTGTTGCATGACAGTAAAACCGTAGGATTGAACTCCATGGATGCCAAGGAAAAACTGGCATGTAGTAACTTGCTGTTCACAAGGAGTGCACGAACTAGAGTACTTGCTTGAATTAACTATCTGAAGTTTTTTTGCAACTGGCAACATTGTAGAACTTAGTTGCTTGAGACAATATGTGAAAAAAAGTGTGCTCTTCTGTAGCAGCATCAGCTCCATTACAGCGGGGAATAAATTTCTCTTAGCCATAAAAACTGCCCATTAAGGGAGCTGAGGGGGGATTTGTACCCTAGCCCAAGAAGAACAAAAATGCACACTGTTTTAAGTGGTGATGATTTACAAAACAGAAGCTTCTGACAGCCTCTCATTTTCTGAAAGCATTGAAGAGGTATGAAACTGCCCAGGAATCTAGGGGTACTATGGCAAAGAGCCACCAGGGCTGCTTTCTAGAGGGTGAGGGGCAGGGGGAATGCGCTGTGACTTACTGGCGTCACATATGCAATTGATTGCTGATCCTGCTGGTTGGTCCTGGCTCACATGTCAGTCTTACACTGTACATTATGTTAAGAATCTGGTACTTTCAAAGAGGAGCTAGAACAAAACTGAAGTTTCCACGCACTGTGGCTGGCTTTTTGTCACAAACTTTGTGCGCACATAATCCTTTTGTTGCCAGTTACAGATGTCTGTATTTTTGTGGGGTTGGTTTTGTTGTTTTGTTTTTTTGGTGGTTTTTTTTTAGAAGCCCTGATGTTATTTTATCCTATTAGAATTTGAAAATTATATAGCACAGAACCTAGCAGGATGGTTTACTTCTAGAACATGTGCTTTAACAAGGTTATTCTTTCACAGGTTTCAGTTTTACTTGAACATGAGTGACTGATAACGTGTTGAGATTTTGTGTTGAATTCAAGTTGCTTTTATTGGTTCCATTTTCACAACCAAAGAACTAAAACATTTAATTTTTCCCCAGCAACTTGTACAGCTGTTACATGTAATGGAAAAGTATCGATACCAAAAAAATTGTACCAAGGTGCAGTTTCCCTTATTCCCAGTTAGCATATGGTACAAACCATGGTTAACTTTGGAGTTAGTAAATTTGGAGTGATAAGTCCTCTAAGCATGACTTAAGACTTGTCTCTCCTACTAAAAATGAGAAGCTCCAGGAGTTTTGGCAGTCATTTAAGAAAGACTGGCAGTCCCCCTTAATCTTACACACCTGTGTGTTTCTGTTGGCTTCGGTCATTCTGACTTATGTGAGATCAGACTCAGCAGTGAGTTAAGGTAAAATGACTGCAAAAACACTTGCTGATAAGCTAAAATAACAAGAGTGTCTGAAGCCCTCAGCTAGCAGTGACTGCTCTGTCTCCTGCTCCAGGATTGTATCCTTTCTGCTGTGTTATGCTTTTTGTGACACAGTTTATGGTGGCAGCTCATTGAAGAGCCTTCAGCTGCAGTATTTATATATTGGTGGGGTTAGAAGAGTACACACTGGTTTTAGGCTAAATGGCATACATTTAAATTGGGAAAGTTATTTCTGCCTTAAGAGTTTACCTGTGACTGCTAGAGCACTAAGTCTGTTCTTGAGAAGAAAGGAAAAACTCTTATCAGACTCAAAGTTACAGTTAAACTGAATCTGAATGAAAAAATACATATTAAACTAACTTAGAAATATCAGAAGACAATTTCTGGCATTGAAGGATTTTTTTTTTTTCTTTTTTTAAAGCAGTGTTTCCTAATGAGAGCACCCCAATGTGCCTGCATTTTTCTCGAAGTTGCTACCTCTAGGGTATTGCTTTTGTAGATGCTGAGGGCTGAGGTAGTGGTTCCTCTTGAAGAACTGTTCTTTTGATACTACTGATTGTCCTACAACTTTCTTCTTAGGTTTTTTAGTTAGTTGGTTTTGTCTTTTTTTTCTTCTAAATCAAGTCTCTCTTTTGTATTATCTCCTTTTTGTCTTTTCTGTTTTCATATTCTTTCATTCAGACTGAATCCTGTGAGCCAAGTGCTGCTCTACATCTTTACCCGCTCCACATCCGTAACTCCTACACTTACGTATGTGCCCAATACAGGGCATTTATTTTAGGGATGGAAGGGTGGGGCAGAGGGAGAGAGGGATATGCTATCTGCATGATATAAAATCATGAAGGAAGTATTGCATGGGTTACACATACTGTGTGTGCTGTTTTGCATGTGTGGGGTGATATAATTTGCCTAGTACTCTTCTACTATTGCATGGGAGGAGATAGGGGAGACAGGAAGACTAACAGGTTTTATTTGGATATCTTAATAAATTTGTTTGTGATATCATACCTATGATTTGTATATACTTAATGTCCCTCCCCCTGGAATCTCTGGGTTTTCTTCTGCCACATTACTGCAATGTAACTTTAACAGTATGCAGTGGTGATTTATTGTAATACACTACTGAAATCTCCATTTGTAAATAATCCAGGCTGCTGCTGTGTAAGTAGCTGATGAAATGTCTTTACTGGGTCTGCTGCATATGAAAGAAACCACAACATTAGGCAATAAAAACTACTAACAGAATGTTACGAAACCAAGACCATGGCAAAAATAGCAGCATGTTGTGGATCTATCATTTTTATTCTTGGGACAGATTTTATTATTTTTGGAACTATTACAAGACTTATGTTAAATATTGTGGATGATAAGAGGAAACAGACTCTTGGCAAACATGGAAAACCAATTACAGCATATTACCCTATTCCCCTTCCAATAAAGGAGGGGCAAAGCTAAAAGTTTATTCTTTGCTTAGCAGCTGGAGGAGAGGGGCGGGGGGGAAGTGTTCCTGCTTTAGCATTGGCTTGAGGAAAGAGATTGTTGCTGTAGCAATGTTACCGCAGGCAATCCAAGCTGGAGAAGGCAAAACCAGCGTACTCCGTAGTCTGTTATACCCCAGCCTAAAGAAACACACTGTTTTTATGGGAAGGCTGAGTAAAGAAATGGCTATTCTATACCATCAGCTATACTGTTCACTTAAAAATAAGTTTTAAAAACTTGTTTGGTTGCAAATCTCCATATCATGGTGATAAGTATTTGATTTGATAACTAAACTGTAACATGTATCTGATACGCAGACATGGAATTTAACTGCTACATCCCATGCTCTGTGACATAGAGGTAAAATAAGGTGTAGGGAAAACCTACTTCAAAGCTTTTTTAGAAGTCTGCACATGCATTTGAATTCCTGTCCCAAATTACAGTTGTTGTAAAATTGTCCATAGCAGCACAAATGTAGATAAATCAATGCATCAGTGTTTGTTTGGGGGTTTTTTACCCCCACAGCATAGTTATGATTTTTAAAATTCCTATGTTACAGAGTCAGAGATATAAATGTTTATATTGGGCAGACTCTTGTTGATGGTTTGGGTCTATGGTACACTTGCTGTAAACTACAGCAGGATCTAATTAGCCTTTCTTAAGCTAAGCGCAGTTCCATGTATCAAACTAACTGGAAACTGATTGTTTACTTTCCTAGATTTAGACATAAAATACTGGGAGGCAGGAATATCTTTAAGTGCAAGGACAGCTCAAAAGAGGCAGAGGTGCCACTCTAACAATTGCCAATTTAACATTGTCTGGGTTGAAGCAGTCAAGTAAACAGTGCATGTTCTGATTATGGCATGGGAAAATATTTTCAGACGCAGGAAATGTCTGAAAGAATGTGGCTTACAAGACAGTTAAATAATAAGTATACTTGGGAAGACAAAAACCCATGGGGTTGCTTCTGTCTCCCAGGAGAAGCTGTCAGTTTAGAAGGCATTGCCCAGCACCTGAACACTGACACCTCTGCCTGGGCTGGTGTTGCTGCTGGAGGACCATAGCACTGGGCCACCTGTGAGGAAGGAACTTTTAAATTTGGACACTCTGCCAGGTGCACATTTGTAGCGCTAAGATGAGAGCTGAGGCAGTGTCCATAACTTGTATGACTTGTATGCATGGCTTTTAGGAGGAGAGATGGGTACAGAAACAACAGCAGAGGACATGGGGCAAATTTACTTGTCAGTGCTGGCTCAAAGAAGAATACCTGAATCAATGTACAACACCTGTCTGTGATTGTTTTATACAAATACAGCAAAGCTTTGTTTTGAATGTAGTTGGAAGCAGATTATTCTGGGTTTTTTTAATCACATTTTAATTCATGAGAGTGACTGGACCTTACTGGAGGGTTATTGGTTAGGTTCATGTCTAAAGTATTTAACATGGAGAGTATCAGACCACAAAAGAATTTGTGTGTCTGGTGCCCTTGAGAGTCAATCCAGCCACTTCTAAGCAAATGTGACTGACTGACCTAAGCTAACTGGTGAAG